CATTTAAATTGCTTAGTTTCATTCATATATCTGTAATTTTTCACCCAGACAAAGAACCTGTTGTTCTACTGAACTGTGGTTTTTCGTCCTAATTCCAGTGACAGCTGTTACTGTAATGGTGCAAAACACTAGTGTAGACAAGGAAAGCTGGATTTGCACAGTGCAGCTCACCCCAATTTCAAGCATAGGGTGAGCTGCATTGGTGCACAGTGTGGCTACATTCTGGGCCAAAATTAAATAATATATTGTGGACATGTTGTTAGGTAAACTAACAAACAAAAAAAGACTTATCACAGTGCCTAGGGCATACTAAACAAGTTGTAGATCTGTAGAAAGAAACTGTAAACAAAGCAGTGATCACACACACATTTATTCAAAGTAACAGTAACTACAGTACAACCTGAGTTATGAACACCAGAGATATGAACTGACCAGTCAACCACACACCTCATTTGGAACTGGAAATACACAATCAGGCAGTAGCAGAGACCCAAAAAAAGCAAATACAGTACAGTAGTGTTAAAAGTAAACTACTAAAAAAATAGTGAAAGTAGCATTTTTCTTCTGCATACTAAAGTTTCAAAACTGTATTAAGTTGATGTTCAGTTGTAAACTTTTGAAAGAACAACCATAACATTTTGCTCAGAGTTACGAACAACCTCCATTCCCAAGGTGTTCGTAACTCTGAGAGTCTACCGTAAATTCTACTGTCACTAAACTATGGATCAAAGTAATTAGTGTTTTACAGTTGCTGCAAGATTATTGGAATTGTGAAGCTTTTAAGTGCTCCCACAATTTTACTGCTCCTCAGGCAAAATAATCCTACTTAACAGGATGGGACAGCAACAAGTCCATGTCAAGTGGGAGCAACCCCACTGTCCTTCAGTTCTTTGGACAAATGCAGCTCAGAAAAAGGTGGGCAACCACAAAGCCATCCCCCTACTTTTCCCAGCGCTGCTGCAGCTGAATCAGTTCTGGACAATAGCAAGGAGACATACACACACACACAAAAATCAGCGATGAAATAAATCTTAGGATAGGAAAGAGAAAATAGAAGTGAATTGCTTCATTTTAGTAAGAGTTTCCTATATTCAAGTCCATTTCTACCAATCCAAGTAACAATCACCATAAGATTGACAGATAAAAGAAAACAACAAAATCTCTTCCCTGAAATTTCTGAAATCCCCCATTTGAAATTGGGAAAAGGAAAGAAAGATTCACACACACAAAAAATGAAATTAAAGTCTTACAGACAAAGCCAGCCTGAAACTCTTCACATACATTTTAATTTTGAAATGGTAAATCAAGATAATCAGTTTGCTGGATGATAGGTACTAAGAAGAGGTAGTGGGTTTCTTGACCCATGTTATAGTTTCGCCAGCTTCTCTTTTCCAGGGTAGGGGATGAAATTCTCTCACTCAGAGAGAATGGTTTTCTGCCAGCAATGTACTCGTTTATTAAACACTGGCAGTGCAACCCAATGAGCCATAGTCGTCATTTCTGCAAAGGTATGTCCTTGATAAAACATATTTTTAACAGTAAAACTTATGAAGTTATATAATTCTGAACAATGCAACCTTTGTGTATTTGACTGACTAGCTATAGATGTCAAAAGTGAAATTCTTTCAATTGGTACTACACCTCTACCCCGATATAACACTGTCCTCGGGAGCCAAAAAAATCTTACTGCGTTATAGGTGAAACCGTGTTATATCGAACTCGCTTTGATCTGCCAGAGTGCGCAGCCCGCCCTCCGAAGCGCTGCTTTACCGCATTATATCCGAATTCATGTTATATCAGGCCGCGTTATATTGGGGTAGAGGTGTACTTTTAATATCTATATTTATGTAATTTTGCTAAAGACAACAATGTTCTTGTGTATTTCTCTACATCCAATGGTAACTCCACAGATGGGAAATACAGCACACAGCTTAAAAGCTTATCCTTTAGTTTTATCCTGGGTTAACTCTTTTGTTAATTCCCCGATCAAGCCTGTGGTGGTAATGCCTGACTCCAAAGCACATATTTACATAGAATTTTCCACAAACTTCACTTTCAGCTAGTAAGAAATTCACTTTCTCACAGATTAAAAAAATATATGTGCATCTGCTGCTGTTCATTTATTTTTTTCCCTTTATATGAGAATCATCACTTTTCTAATACTATAGGAGTTTACAGAAAAAAAATTTGCTGACTGACCTCTACCAAAGGCCTTAAGCCTTTTTCTCACCTTCTCAATGCTAGCATCTCTGTCACTAAAGAGGCACATAATGCTGCACAAGAGATACAGAAAGGAGTGTAAAAGAACTCTCCAAAGCATATTATCTAAGATTTTAATTCTTTTTTCAATATTTTAGACAATTACTATGAATCTGCAGTAATGACTCCACAGTTAAAGCTGTAAATCACTTTTATTGGAAGTCAGAATTCTACATTCCTTCACCTTTAAAATAAATTTTGTTTTGAAATTGAACTACTTATTACAGAAGTAGTGTATGAATGATTATTGGTCAAACAAAATTGTCAGTGGGGGCGGGAGGGAAAGCTTGAAAGCGTCTTTTTTTTTTTTGTAAAGTCATCTCTCAAAAAAACCCACTTGGTTTAGAATAATTATTTAACAGTACTGGACATAAGCTGCTCAGTATTATTTCATATACAGGTTGGTGCAATATTTTGGGATGGTGTGCAAAAAGTAACAGCAAATGGCTGAGCTCTGTCTCTTTATAAATTTGGTCAGCTCTGAATCAATTAGGTTATAAGAGGTTAAAAAAGTACTTTGGGAAAAGTAATTGATTTGAATATATTTTCTTATATTTCAAAGAAGAACATATAACGTCTCTACATCGCACCTCTAATTTTAAGACAGTATGGCATATCAGAAGAAAACAGTATAAACCACGTTATCACCCATCATGATTTTTAAATTAATTTTAAATTTTTAAAAGAATTATGATTCAAACACATTAAACAGACATAACTATTTTAAATGAGTATTTAAGACTACTGTTTTAATGTCTGAAATATTAGAAACCCACAGTTCCACTAAAAACCTTAACACGAAACCTATTATCAGTGTCCATCCTCTGTCTGTCCAACATCCTCTTACCTAAGTTCCCTCTAAGTCCTCTCTCTCCATCACAGCCCCAGGGCAGTCTGCACCCCAAACTCCTCATCCCTGGCCCCACCCCAGAGCCCACCCCCACAGCCAGAGCCCTCACCCCCCTGTACCCCAAGCCCAACCCTCTGCCCTAGACCTGAGCACCCTCCTGCACCCAAACCCCTCATCCCCAGCCCCACCCCAGAGCCCACACCTCTAGCCCCACTCAAGCCCGCACACCCCACCAGAGCCCTCACCACTCCCCACCCCGAGCTTCCTCCTACACTCCAAACCCCTTGGCCCCACTCCCACCACACATCATCTCCATATTAGTGCACTTTACAAAATTCATTCAGCACATGGATGTAAAAAATTAGAGGGAACATTGCCTTTTACCCCAAATTATAAGAGATCCCGAGTTACCAAATTTGGAAATGAATTAGACCCCAACCCCCCCAAAAAATTAAAAGGTGGTCAGAATTGGATATTTAGCTCAGGTCCAGGTCTGCATCTAATCAATGTACTGGAAAATCATCCCAGCTTATCACATAGTCAGTATCAATCAGTGTTACTGGGAGCTCAGTATTGGTCACACATGACTTCGGCTAATTTACACTGCCATAATCAACTACTGTATTGTAGATACAGTTCTAAGCTCTGGACTGCACTATGGGTATGTCAGATAGGGATGTGATTTGTATTATTATATTGATACTATTTTAAGCCCACTATGGATGCAGTTACAACAGTACAAAGATGCCTAAAACTGGTAAAATGTATTTCCCTTCCGACTACAGAATAAACTATACCTGTATAAGCACTTTTATACCAGTTTAACTGCATCTACACTAGAGGGATTACTGCTTTAATTATACCCACACGGTTTAAGCAATAAGACTTCCTAGTGCAGACAAGCCCTAAAGTCAGGCATGGGCCACCAACCCCAAAGAGACCCAGAGCACATTAATGCCTGCTGACACCAAGACCCTCCAATATCCAACCACCTACCAGTGAGAAGTCGCCACCCAGCCAACAGGGAGCCTGCATCAGCCACCCTGCACAAGAGCCGCCTAGACCCATAGCTCAGACCACCAGGTGCTGGGAAGGGGGCAGAGTGACAAGGGGTCACCTCTGAGCTGCGCTCCCACAGGCCTGCCGGCTAATAACTGCACCATCCCACAGAGCAGGGGCTACACCCTGATGGGGGAGGCAGTCCAAGGCACAGACCCACTACCCTGCCCTTCCCTCTCCTCGCTACTGCCCAGTATCAGAGGGGTAGCCGTGTTAGTCTGAATCTGTAAAAAGCAACAGAGGGTCCTGTGGCACCTTTGAGACTAACAGAAGTACTGGGAGCATAAGCTTTCGTGGGTAAGAACCTCACTTGCATCTGAAGAAGTGAGGTTCTTACCCACGAAAGCTTATGCTCCCAGTACTTCTGTTAGTCTCAAAGGTGCCACAGGACCCTCTGTTGCTCGCTACTGCCCGTATCCCCATCTCCACCCCGCCTCTCAACAGCCCCCCTGATGCCCAGGACTGGCCGCTCCCCTAGTGCCGGACCACCTCAGAGAGAGACCCCCTTGTACATAGCCCCGCCCGCTCGCCCCCCGTACATAGCGCTGGTAGAACTTGGAGAGCCGGGGTTTGCCGTGGTTGTTGAAGATGAGAATCGCTTTGATCATGGTGAGGCGGCGGGAGATGGCCGCTCCAGCCGGCCGGGTCACTGCGAGCTCTGCCCCTCCCCCTTCACACTAGTAGCAGCTCCCCCGCTATTCGCGCCCAGAGCGGAAACGGAACCGTTCCCGCTACCCACGTGACACGGAGTCACCTGACAAGGTGGTGCGGCTCATTGAGAGTGTCAACATCCGCCAGGAGTAGTACCCTACGGTCACGTGCTCTCAGTGGCCACTGCCAGGAGTTAATATGGTTCACGTCACGTCCGCCCTTACTTGCCTGTAAGCAGTATGGCGGAAGTGGAGGAGCAGCTGCCTCTCTCTCCTCAGGACGGTAGCCGAAGCGAGTGTGGAGAAGAGCCCCCGGATAGGGGAGCTGTGGTGGGGGTTGCCGAGCCGGCTCCCCCTTCAGCCGGCTCCCCGGTGACCGAGGAACCTGCCGAGGACTCCAAGAAGAAAAGTAATAGGAAAAGGAATTATTGCCCTGGGGGGGCGGGGTGAGAACGGTCGATCGCTCTGATTGCCAGGTGCTTTGGCCAATCGGGGAAAAGAGTGAGCCGCCTACTTCAGCTAAAAGAAGAACAGGAGGACTTGTGGCACCTTAGAGACTAACAAATTTATTAGAGCATAAGCTTTCGTGGACTACAGCCCACCTCTTCGGATGCATATAGATGCATATGCATATGTTCCATTCTATATGCATCCGAAGAAGTGGGCTGTAGTCCACGAAAGCTTATGCTCTAATAAATTTGTTAGTCTCTAAGGTGCCACAAGTCCTCCTGTTCTTCTTTTTGCGGATACAGACTAACACGGCTGCTACTCTGAAACTACTTCAGCTAGCTTAACCAATTAGGAAAAGGCAGAGGATACGATCGTGTGCGGCGGGGGAGGGGAGGAAATGCTCCAGGCCTGTTGTACGGGCGCGTTGGTATCTCCCGGCCGCGGGTGGGACAGCAGGACAGCGGCTAATAGCTTCTCCCGGCACGGAGGGTTGGGCGGGGCTGGGGCTGTAGCTGCTGAGCTGTCTCTGAGGCGGGCTGCCTATGGCTTGGGGCGGGGCTCCTGCCTCTGCCCAGGTGCGCAGCGGCTGGTTTCCTTCATGCCCCGTCCACCGCGCTCAGTCTCTGCTCTCGCCCTAGTTGACGTCCTGCTGAAGGCTGTGGGGGACACGCCGATCATGAAGACCAAGAAGTGGACCGTGGAGAGGACCCGTACCATCCAGGGGCTCGTTGACTTCATCAAAAAGTTCCTCAAGCTGGTGGCCTCGGAGCAGCTGGTACGTGACCTGTATCCTCTAAGCTGGGGAAAGAAGCGGCAGGTCCTAGGGCTGCTTGGTGTCAGGGTGAAAAAGGGGATAGCAGTTAGGTGATGAAGTGCGGGACGTGTGGAGCTGGCAAGGCTGCGATCAGTGATGGCATCATGTTGCTTGCTTCTTAATTGTGTAAGTTGCTTTGTATGGTGATGAGGTAACTCTCCACAGGGTACTTGAGAACAAAAGGGGCTTGTTGTACTTGCTGACTATGGAGCCTATACCGGCATAGCTATGATAGCATCACCCTAGAGTGTAGACACAGCCTGCACTAGAGAAGAGTTTTTTTCCCATCAGTGTAGGAACACCAGTTCCAAAAACAAAGTTAGCTACTTTACCAGAAGCATTTTTCCATTGACATAGCTGTGAGGTTAGCCTAACTATACTAAGCACAAACTCGGCTGTCTAACAGGAAGTGGAATACATATATAATAAAACATAAGGAAAACACACATCGTGTAGTGCATACAGGAAAAATATCTCAAAAACCTCCTATTAAATAAAAGCTATTGCATTTCCTTATGTATTTGTATAGTCCCTAGCACACCGAGGTCCCAGGGCTCCTAGGCACTATGGTAATAAAAATGATAAATAACACTGCTCTACAGCCAAAATGCTTCTGAAATAAATGTAGTCAAACTTTACTAATTCTGGGGTCACTGAGAACGAAAATGATGCTTAAA